TCCCAGTCACCATCTGGCTGCATCAACAGCTGCAGCTGAGCTCAGGGACAGCAGGAGGGAGCTGGGGGAGGGCCAGGGCTGGGCACTGCTTTTCTTAGCAGCAGTGTTGGCTTAAACCTGCACGTGGCTGCAGGCTAAGAGAGAGAAGGAGCTCCAAAGCAAATCATGAGCCTGAGGTAAAGTTCTTGGAGAGAAACTTCTTACAAGGCATGGAGTGACAGCATGAGGGGGAATGGCTTCCCACTGCCAGGGGGCAGGGACAGATGTGAGGACAGTGAGGCCCTGGCTCAGTTTTCCCAGAGAAGCTGTGGCTGCCCCTGCATCCCTGGAAGTGTTCCAGGCCAGGTTGGGTGAGGCTTGGAGAAAGTGAAAGGTTCCCCTGGCCATGGCAGGGGTTGGAATGAGATGGTCTTGAAGGTTTCTTCCAGCCCAAACCATTGTGGGATTCTGGAATTCTCCTTCATCCTGTTCTCGTGTCTTTGGCACTGCAGTGGGGTCATTCCTTCTGCTGTTCAGCAAGCTGAGGTGTCAGGTCCTTGCTAAATTCCTGCATGTGATGTGGAAAGACTGTGATGCTCAGCTTTGATACTGCAAAAGGAAGGCCTGAATTTAGCAGCAGGGTGAGGTAGAAATTGGATTAAAATTCAAAGATAAGGATTTGCTCAGGTTCCAGCATGAGATTCTCCTGCTTCAGCCCTGGTGTCTGATGAAAACCCTAAACTTACAAACCTTGCACTGTCCAACTTGTTCATTCCCCTCACTTACATTTTTTAACTTTCAAATTTTCAAAATAATTTTTTATGTGACAGTGTACTACATGGAATTAAAATACAGCTGAAGAACTACTCATCTTTAGGAGCTTTTGGATTCTTGAGATAAAAACATTCAACTCAAATGTTTTGAATTTTATACAAAAGGGAAACTGAGAAGTTTTCCAGGGAGTTAATAATTTTAATAAGCAGCCTTGCAGAAATCAGAACTTGCTGGAGGCTCAACATTGGTTTAGAAATTGATTTCCACTGAATTATAACCATGGCCAATCTCTTAGTAAATAGATGTGCATAAAACATCAGGCTTAATATATTAGGACACCAAGTTCCTTTAGTAGGTGGAGTGTTGGAAGTGGAAAGGGACTGAGTTATGACCACTTGGAGAGAAGTTTTCTGGGCTTTTACAGCATTTAAGTGATAAGAACATTGCCTTGATGGAGCTTTTGCACTTCATGTTGATTCTTGTAACCACAAGTTGGTAACTTTGGGATTTAATTATATAACATGAGCTCTTGGCCGCCACATATTCCTGTTTTAATGGAAGGGCTGATACAGCTGCTGATTCCAGTTAATTTATCAGCCCAATGGGCAGCTCTGTTTGCACTGAAATCCCAAGTTTGGGAGCTGGATGTGTATTTTATTGGCATCCCTAAGGGGAAGGGTGATTTATTCCTAATGGGTGCTGGTGTTTTATGAACAGATTATGAAGCAATCGTGAAGCTTTCAGATGGCTTCAACGGAGCAGACTTGAGAAACGTCTGTACTGAAGCAGGTAATTCCTTAACTCTTCATTTGGATGTGATAAATCTTGGATAATGCTGAATCTTGGAGCTGTTCCTCTGTGGATTAAACCCAGGAGCTCAGAAGTGTTCTGCTGGAACAGAACATTGAGCTGATCTGAGTCAGCCACTTGTTGGTTGATCATGATGTGTCCCACTGTCTCATTAGAACCAGATACATTCCAGAAACAGAGATTGAACCCATTTTCCTCCTTTTTGGAGAAAATTCAGGGCTCTTGGTACCCATGTGCCTGCAGAGTTGATGCTATTTTATGCTTTTTTCACATGAAAATTTGTGCACTTGGTGTTTGCCTGCACGGGCAGGCTGAGTAACACAGTAAATGCACACTCAGAGTTTAAACAAGTTTTCTTTTTAGTACTCCCTTAGTTCAGAAAGGTGAATTCCCTCCTCTTCCCAACATCCAAAACATGGGAAGGTCATGTAGATTGTGTAACCTGGATCAGTTTTCGTTTGAATTTGGGTGAAACTTCATATTCTGTCTCTTCACACTGTAAAATCCTCCCTCCCAGGGATGTTTGCGATCCGTGCTGATCATGACTTCGTAGTTCAGGAAGATTTCATGAAAGCTGTCAGGAAAGTGGCTGATTCCAAGAAGCTGGAATCCAAGCTTGACTACAAACCTGTGTAAATTAACCATAGAATTTGTGATTGATTGTACACATCCTACTGGGTTAATGCATAAAAAAAAAAGGAGAGAAATAATGTACCTCTTGATTATCATTGTAAGGTGTTTGTGTAGCATGTAGCTAGTAATTTTGGGAATGCTAGTTGCAAGTTGGCTACAGGAGTGTGTTTTCTGTACAATTCTGAAATGCAATGTTTGTTACAGCCCAGGCTCAGTAAAAATGTGTGGAGATGTGTTGTTCTCTTAGCAATTATGGTGGGAATTTATAAACGTGCCTGAAGGGATTCACAAACAGAAGAAAGTCAGTTCATTTCTTGACTTTTTGTATATCAGTAAATCTCCTTTCCCCAAACAGTTTATGAATAAAACCTGTTTAAATCTGTTTATCCTGGTGGATTTTGTGTGTAGCTCTCACAGAGAGGTGAATTTTGTGTCTTCTGAGCTGGAGGAGCAACTTTTCTCTGGTGTAAGGATTGGAGTCCTGAGCCTAACAGAGGAAGCCTAACCCTTGGAGAGAGAAGGGACTGGTGGGGTCTGGACAAAACTGCCCCCAGGGCTGGAGGTGGCTCAGCAGTGCCAGCACAGGGGACAGGCACTGCCCTGCTCCTGTGGCCACACCGTGCCTGGTACGAGCCAGGTGCCCTTGGCCTCTTTGCCCACCTGGGCACACTCATTTGCTGCTGAATTCTGGAAATAGGATTTACCTGAGCTGGTGTTTATTTACTGCAAGAAGTAAACAAGGTGGTGGTGGTTTTAAGGGCATCTGCTTTACTTTTATTTTTATTTTCCAAGCAGTTTCACCCCGAGGGGTGCACACAGACCCACTGCACTGTGCAGCTCACCTGAATGTTGCACTGGAGCAGCAATGCACTAAATTGCACGTCTGGCTACTTCTAATTATCTTAATTGGATTATTCTGGGCCTGCTCAGCTGACAGACAAGTACATTAGATTAGCTCTTGACTTCCCAGGAAACACACAGCATCTCCCTGGCAATTTTAACAGCTGTAGTTTTATTTCCTTTCCCATCACAGATCAGACAGACGGTCTAAGATGTAGAACAGTTAAAACAGGACAGGCAACAATATTTCCCTGTTTATATGGCTGTTACAGACCTTTCTCCCTGTTGTGGCTGTGTCAGGAGTGTAAAGATGCAAATCTCAGGTTTAGTTTTAACACCCTTTTGAGTGCAGCTCGTACAGCCCATGTGCTGGAACAATGAGAACATGAAATCAAAGTCCATTTCTGAGCAGAACGGTGATGTAAACAGCAAGCTGAACCTCTGGCTGAGGGAATTGTTGCTGAAAGGTGATTGTTGAAGGTTTCTCAAAATTTTATTTAGTAAAAACAGCAGAAAGGTGCACTAGAAATAATAATTGAGATTCTAAAATTCCGGTGCTAGTATTTCCAAAAGGACACTTCCAATTTTATTTAAGCAACCAACCCATTGAGTTTGCTTACTTTGACTAAGCTTCCCTCAGAAATTCCACTGACACCAGTGTAGAATTTTGGTTCACCGAAAAGCAAAGGAATGAAAAACTGCAGCTTAAAGTGAAATCTCATAGAGTCATAAAAAGTGAAATCTCATAGAGTCATAAAATGGTTTGGGTTGGAAGGGAGCTTAAGAACCATCCATTCCACCCCCTGCCACGTGCAGGGACATCTTCCACCGTCCCAGGCTGCTCCAAGCCCTGTCCAGCCTGGCCTTGGGCACTGCCAGGGATCCAGGGGCAGCCACAGCTGCTCTGGGCACCCTGGGCCAGCTCCTCATCACCCTCCCAGCCAGGAATTCCCAGTTCCCAATCTCCCATCCATCCCTGCCCTCTGGCAGTGGGAGCCATTCCCTGTGTCCTGTCCCTCCATGCCTTGTCCCCAGTCCCTCTCCAGCTCTTTCATAGTTCTTAGAGCATGGAACCTCAAAAAGCAGAAAAACAGGTTCTTGCCCCAACACTGAGGTGTCTGAGGACATCACTGACACGAAGAGAAGCAGACTGGAGATCCCAGAGTCATTTAGGTAGGAGAAGACCTCTGGGATCATCCAGTCCCATCTGTGACCGATCCCCAGCGCAGAGCACCGAGGCCACTGAGGCGTTCCTCGGACACCTCCAGGGATGGGGGCTCCAAACCTCCCTGGGCCATCCAGAGATGAACCTCCTGGCGTCGCCAGCTAAAATGTGAGGCAGCAGCGTCGTTCCCATGGGCGATGGAGCCAAGATGGAAGCGGCCGTGTGAGGAGAAGGAGCCCTCGGCAATGTCAGGGGACGGCGACAAGGAGCGTTAATGGCCGCGCCATGGCGTGAGGCGCTCCGAGCCGGGCCCTGGCCAGCTAACAGGCGAAGCGCCCATTACTGAAACTTTGGGGTGAATTACCCCGAATTTAGGGCTTGCGAGCGGGTTCATTAAACGAACCGCGGCAGCAGCTGCCCGTGAGGGGAGGGCAGAGCGCTGAGGGCGGAGCGGGGCGGAGCGGGGCGGGGGCCGCGCTCCCTCAGTGCCCGCCGGGCCGCCATGATGGCGGGGAGGGAGCGGGGCTGGTTCGGAGGAGGAGGAGGAGGAGGAGGGAAGACGAGGCGGCAGCAGCAGCAGCAGCATGGCGGCCGGGCGCGAGCGGCTGAGCGCGCCGCCGCCGCCTCCTCCTCCGCCGCCTCCATCTCCTGCCGCTCCCGAGCCGGAGCCCGCGGCCCCGCTGCCCAAATAGCCGCCCTGCCCCGGGTCCTGCCCCGCCCGGACAGCGCCCGGCCATGGAGCTCGCCAAACCGGCCTTCCCCGCGCTGCCGCAGGCCAAAGAGGACTCTGAGGTGAGCGGGAGCTCCGGTCCCGGCCCCCCGCACATGCCCGGCCCGCGGCCCCGCCGGGGCTTCCCCTCACAGCCCTGCCCGCCCTGCGGTGCCTCCCGCGCCCCTTCCCGCGGGATTCCCGCTGGGATCCATCGCAGGCCGCGGGTCCGTGTCCCGCCCTGGGCTGGTGACACCCTCTGCGACCACCGACCGCGTCTCCCCTCCCGTGGTCGCTGCCGGGCTCTGCTCCCTCCATCGCCCTCCGGCTTCTCCGCTCTCCGGTGCCTCCGTTCTGGAAGCCTCTCACTATCCAGGCTGCTCCAAGCCCTGTCCAACATGGCCTTGAGCGCTTCCAGGAGTGGGGCAGCCACAGCTTCTCTGGGCGATCTCGTCACCCTCACATTCAGGGAAGTGAGCCCCTCCGCTTCGTCTCCTTTGGCTTTTGCCCACCCGTAGCTGCCCCCACTCTTTTTTATGCCCCCTTTCTGCGCTCAGTGTGTCACAGCCTGTCTGTTCGCCGCCCTTTCGCTCTCCCCGTGTGTCCCCCTGCCTTTGCAGGGCCCCCGGCCGTGTCCCCGTGAGCAGCCCCACAGGGAGTCCCTGCGGGTCCCCTCCGGCCTCTCGCTGCCGTCCTTCTCCCCGCTCCTCCCGGCGCTGCCTGACTCCATCGGGGCGGTGTTTTCACGGAGTTCCAGAGCCAGGACTTCTCTGCGGACAGGTGGCAATGTGCGGTGTCACAGGAGCCGCGGCAGCGCGGTGTCTGATTTCTGAACTTGGCTGAACTCCCCGGCGCTGACCCTGGACGCTGGTGATTTGTTTTTGTGTGTCACAAACATCCCCGAGTGTCCCCTCCCGCGTCCCCTTTGGTGGCCTCAGATATTTAATGCGAAATGTCACAGCCTGCTGAGGGAAGCTGAGAGTGTCTGAGCTCTTCAGACGTCTGTAGATTGTCGTGTGGCTCTAAACATCAGCATTTATTTCTGTTTGAACAGCATTGCTCAATGCTGTTATGGTGGTAAATTACCTGAAATATGGGAGTGACTCTTTTTGTTCAGTTTTTGTTGTCAGGACTTAATACTCCGCATCTCTTCAGAGCTCTGGAGGTGTTACAAGTCATTTAGTTGTTCTCACAAAGTTGTAATCACTTTGTATCTCAACACAAATCATCTGCCACACTGTGAGGTTTATAATTTGTTTGCTTTTAAATATCTTTTCTTTCTGGAGAAACCAATCGTGTCATCCACGGTTTTGTTAACTAAATTAGCCTGGGTGGCTTTTCATCTAAAATGGCTAAAGAGGAGTGTGGGGTTAAAATAAAAATGAAACAGAGCTCAGTGCCAGTCTAGCAACTCTTAACTGAAGAAAACTGAGATTGTAATACAGTGTCTTTCAGAATAGCTTTTACTTTTGTCTTTTTTCATGGGCTGTCTGCAAATAATATAATTATAGTGTGTTAGAACTTCACGTAGTGGGGATTTTCAAGAACTGATTGTAAAAACTGTAAGAATTTCTTTTCAATATGCTGCATTTGTGTCTGACTTGATCTAAATGCAGGATCATGCCCACAAATTCTGAGCTCTGATAGAAGATAATAAATAGTTGGAGTATGTGGAGGAAACAGGAAAGTGAAAGCCAGTGGTGAGTGTCAAAGTTCTTGTGGAGGTAACTTGTTAAAAGCAAAGTGTAGGAGACTTAAACCCAGTCCTTAAGGCAGTGCCTTGAAAAAGCAAACTGAGGAAACTAAAATCATCCTGCCCACAAAATGTAGATTTTCCTGGAAAGCAGAAGATGCTCTTGAGCATTGCAGCGAGGAGGCTCTTTAATGAGCAGTAATCCCTAATATTTTGGGAGGTTGCTGATGGATGGTTTAATGCTGGCTTGGCAGGTTTGCTTTCAAGATACTGGGAAGGGGAGGGGGGAGAACTTGGGGAATCCCTGGCTGACTTCCTGCTGCTCAGAAATGCAGCTTTGTCACTTTAACTCAATCCAAGTGCCACCCCCAGCCCCCTTCTCAGAGCTGGCACTTGTAACCATGTCACAGCTTTAATAATCGTAATAATAATTACAAATAAAGCCAAATCAGGTTGGCTGCACAGCATCCCATCCCTTCCTGGCACAAGGAGAAGTGTTGAGGGGAGAGAGCAGCCTGGATTGACTGGGGCAGGCTGCAGGGATGGGCTCTGATAAATAGGTCACTTTTCCAGCCTGGATGTTGTTTGCCCTGTCCCTAATCCATAGTGTGGTGTTTGGGATTGCTGGATTTCTAAACCTCTTGGCTGTTGATACTTCTGGGAGCTTGGGAAATGCCAGAAAACCTGGAATTCATCATTCTGGCAAAGCTTTTCTGAGAATGCCTGTGAACTGTGTGTTCTTTTACAGTCTGGTGATGGGGAATATCTCAGTTTTATGAGTAATAGTGATTATATGTGATGTGGAACCATTTCTAAGCTTAGATTTTTATTCTTATTTTTCTAAAATCAGCACGTTTTCCAAGGTCAGGTCTCAAACTTTCTTAAATTTTAGGAGTTCTGTGTTACATGTTTATACTGGGAGGAAAAAATATGGCTAAAAACCCATTAAAAAGGGTCAGGTTAATAACAATTAGTACATGTTGGCTTGTTAGTACTTCTGGAAAGAAGGTCAGTAAGGACTGCAATAATTGAAGGAGTTTAATAGAAATTATTTTCCCATTAAATTTTAAACGAAACAAAAGGTCTAGGTTATGTTATATATATATCATGAGAACACAGCAACAATTACCAGTTTATTTCTTTGTTAAAACATATTTGCCTGCAATCAGGCTGAGCCAACCAAGTATTCATGATGTACTTAGATTTTTTTATTTTTTTTTTTAGGACTCTCCATGGGTTTTGTAATTAAATTAGCAGCCTATTGACTAAGCAGACATATTTGCCTTTTTATTATGCATAAAAGCTGAGTTCTTTTTAGCACATGGAGTTTTTCTAAAAAAGAAATTTACATTTTTGACAGCTATATTTAGTCTGAAATGCTAATGTATTTCTGACTGCTTTTTTTAGCTATGAAGTGATGCGGCCCATCTAAAGGTGGAACAAATCTATTAAACTTTTTTAACTCTCACTTTTGATAGGCAACACAAATAAACCCCTTAAAACACAGCTTTTCCCCTCCTCTGCAGACTCTTTAAAATAAGTAGGAAGCCTCTATCATTAGAATTATTTTACCTGCCCACATAATAGAGCCCAAAAAATGGAGAACAAATGCTGTGTTGTGCTGGGAGATGTAAATCAGGTGACAGATTTTGATCACAGCTCGGTGGGATACTATCAGACTGCTTTGCATAAATCAGTGCTCTGTGGCAGCTGGAGCTGAGCAGTCTCTCAGTCCTGATTAATTTGTGCCTCCCATCCAGGGGAGGCCTGGTGGGATCCACACAGGCACAGTGGAGCACTTTGTAGAATCGGGGAGTTAAGGCATGTTTGGGTTGTTTTAGCTAAATGAGGATTGTCTCAGTGTAGCCCAAGTCATGAATTAAAAAAAGGAGGGCTGTGAAAAAGGCCATTGCTGCAGCATTATGAACAATTCTGATAATCTGTGTGAGTGTGGCACTCCAGGCACTTGGCTTTGTGCTTCCTGTCAGCTGAAGGATTCTGCCTCCACTGCTTTATTTCCAGTTTTGTTGGAAAAAAATTGTATGAGGGAAGTTTTTAGCAGTGCTGCTGATCCTGTGTGCTGGTGGTATTCAATGAGGTGCCTTCAGGATCAGTGTTAGGGAATGGGACAAAAAGGAATTTTTTGTTTCTACTTTTCCTTTAGTTTCACCTTTTATCCTTTCCTGTGGCTTGTGTTTCTCTCTGGTAAAATAACATTTCTTTCCCTGTTGTCCTTCATTCCTTCCTTCCTTCCTCCATGTGCTCTGTCATTCCCACCTTTTGTTCCTCTTCTCCACCTTCCTGCTTTTGTATTCCTTTGTATTTTCAGTAGCAAAAATGTCTCTGGTGGTGCCTTCCCATTGCCTGAGTGCTCTTGACAGACCCACAGAATTCCCAGTCAATCTGCTTCCATCCCTCCTGAGCGTGGTGGCCTTGGGATGGAGCAGCTGTGCAAGGGCAGCAGTGTCACCTCACCCTTTCTGCTGCCCCTCTCTCCAGCCCTCAGCCACTTTTGGGATAGCAGCATTGTCCAAAAATTCCTCGAGCTCTGCTCATGGCAGTGCTGTGCTCACACCTTCAGGAAATTAAAGGATTTGGTTTAATTTTGTGTATTTTGTAGACTTGCACCAGGATTTCTACCTAGGGGAAAAAAGATATATATATATAATTGAGACTGCACTGGTCAGATAGTTGCACTAAATAATTATTGTAGGTCCCTTCCAATTGAAATAATTCTATTTGTATAATAACCCCCATGTTTTCAATAGAACTGTCCAAGAACACGAAGCATGACTGAAACTGAAGACACAACCTTTCACTTCTTTCATGTTTGTAGCTAATTTTGAGGCTCTTAAGTACCACGTTTCACGGTGATAGATGTGACAGGTTTCAGTGATACTCAAATATTTTCCTTGAATATTCTTCCAGTACCTCATTTAGTTTGTCTCCTTTCTTATTAAAAAATGGGAAGTGATTGTGTTCTGCTACTGCTTTATAATTTCGAGATTTCTTCTGCAGTTGTTCCATTTTACAAATACTGATTTAGATTTTTGTGCAAGTCTTTGGAGGCGAGGGATGTTATCATCACTTCGTTGGGCCATGTAAAATAACGTGTAAAAAGCTTTCAAACCCAAGGTGTGATCTCATTTGTGAATGACACTTAAAGCTGCCTGGGAACGAAAGCCTTTGTGTGGAGGTCATTGCTGTGGGATCAGGACCCAGCCCCAATCCACGCTGCAGCCTGGGCAGGGGGATGCTGCTGCAGTCCTGCCCTCTCTGACACGGTCAGGCTGTAATTTGAATTTCCTGTGCAGGGTTAAAGGCATGCCAGGAGCTCACTGGGCCAGTGAGCAGGATCTGCAGCAGGTCAGAGCGCCTGGCTGCGCTGCTGTAACAGTTTCTGCTGCTCCAGGGTCACAGCTTGGGGGAGAACCTTGTAGCAGGTTTGGAGGAGAGGCTTGGAGTGTTACAGGGAAACGGCTTCAGGCAAGAGGATTCTCGCAGCCCTGGGTTTTTGAGGTGCACAATCCATCACGCAGGAGTCCTGCTGGGATGGATTGTGATGGGGAGAGAAATCTGTGTGGAGAGGGAAGTGATGCTATAAATCAGCAACAAAAAAAATTGTCTGGGAGTTGGGGAAGGCTTGGACACCTGGAGTGGTCAGGGAGGTTTTCCAAAGGATTTGAGTGATGGTCTGGGAAGCAGGAGGAGTCATTGCAGGGGGTGGGTGATGCTGAGCAGGTGAAAAGCAGCAGTGAAAATCGAGAAGAGACTTGCTGAGCTCATCTCCTCTAACTACTGATTGGATTTCTTTTCCTGGTGGTTTTTGCAGCATTTCTGAGAGCTTCTCCCTTCACCTGGGCCAGCCTGTGGTTTGCAGGCTCTACTAATTACAAGGCAGCAGGAGCTGAACCATCCTAACTGGGCTTGCTTTTCAGCCAGAGCTGAGCTTTGACAAAGACCGGGGCTGTACCTTTTATGTGTGGAAATCAGATGGGTCTGCAGCCTTCAGCTGTCAGTGAGGGACCAGTTAAGCTCTGTCACGTGCATCCATTTCATGCATTCCTTCTGGAGAGGCAGATGCAGGTTGGCTGTTGTGTTTAAAAACCACCCTCTTTGCTTTGGTACCGAGTCTCAATATCAGGGCTGGTAAACTCATTTAAAAATAATAATGTAAATGTTTTAGGTTATGTCCTAGACAAGGGCACTGTTAGAAAAAAAAAAACTCCGTGTCATTTTTTGCCATTAAACTGTTCTAAAAAGGAACAGGTTGTGACAAAATACGGACAAAATAACCTAAATTGTTGGCAGAGCTAACATGTATTGGATACCAAAAGGCTCTTTGTAGTGTGGACAAGTCTTACCTATTAATTCATAGCTTCCATTTATTTCAGCTGGAGATTGGATGGGGAAGGGAGGGCTTTGGAATGTGCTTTATTCCCCCTTCTCGTGCATGTTTGAGGAGTTCTGTCAGAGGGCTTATTTTTAAAACTTTGAAATTCTAGGGATTATTTTTTTTCCACTCCATCTCTTTGGTGTCTTGCAAGTATTGATGAGTGAGGCTTCCAGTGAGTTGTCACTTGCTCTGGAGAACCTCCCAAATCCCTGGCAGCAAGGAATGCTGTTCTTCCCTCCACCTCTGGCATCGCCCTTTGTTTTCTTAGCAAAATTCTTGCATTTTTCTGATCAAAAGAGAAGCTTTCAGTTGTTTTTTGTCTGCTTGGTGCTGCAGACAGTGTGGAAAACCTGGCTGATGAAGGAATTCCTTAAAATGGAACCTGTGCTTGGCTTCAGTCTCCATTAATAGATTGGGTTTTTTACATAACTTTGCATAACATTTGAATAATCTGGCATTGTTGGTTTTGAAAGCCTTGAAGGGCTGTCAGCAGTCACCAAAATCATTCTTTCAGTAGTTTGTGTACTTGTCTCATATTAAATGTTTTCCTTAAGCACTCTCCTTCAGAGAGTTATTTTACAGACTAAATCCCATTGAAAGCTGTATCTTTTTTTGCCTCTTGGAGGGCACTAAAGACCAATGTCTGGGGCCTGTAGTGATTTTTTTTTTCTTGTTCAGAACATCTGTGCTGTCTCTTGGGATTTGGTTCCCTTTGGACTTGCATTGCTCAATTCTCATCTATTTATTTTGCACAGTTTACAGCTGTTGGGGCTAAAAGTTTCCTGATGCATTTGAAAGGAATATTTGCAATGTGTTGTTAAGCCAAAATAGTGATGAATTTGTGTTTTCATTGTGCTCCCTGTTAAGATTTCTAAATTCTACAAACAGAGTAATAAACCTACTAAAGTGCTTGTATATTCCTGGAGTGCAGCTTCAGCTTTTCAGTTTAGACTTGGACAAACCTGGGGTTTTCTGGCCTTTTGAATGATGCTTTTGTGTACAGAGCAAGCCAGCAGGGTTGTGCTGAACCCTCTCAGGTCCCCCTTCAAAGGGTACAGTTCTGTAAATATCATCCTTTTGTCACAACACTTCTCCTTTCTACTTCCAGGAGTTTATTATTCCAGCTGGAACATGCAGAAGTAATTTAGCTACTTGTGTGTCTTCAGCAAAGCCCATTTCAGTGCATTTTATTTCCCTGTTTGTGCTGCCACTTTAGGTGCTATCCAAAGGATTTTGTGGGGTGGCTTAATGTTTGTTTGCTTGCTTTTCCAGAATAACTTTACTGACACTAAAATCCTTCTTAATTCCACGACCAAGAGCTGGAAAATCCTCCCTGTGCACTGTGGGGGTGTCTGAGGGAAGCACAGGATTTTTATTGTGTTGGTAAAAAGAGGTTTAATGTGAATTTATTGCTACTGGGACAAGTGTAGGTGCTCAGGTGAACAGTGCTGCAATCTAAGGGATCCTCCCTGCTGTAATCCAGACGTCACTTCCCAGCTGGAATATTTGATGTTTAACTTCCCCATACTTCTGAGGACATCAGACCACAGGGGAAGTTTTTTTCTTAGCTGCTGGTGTGTGTGTGTCTGAATCAAACAACAGAGTTATGTAAATAAATGTATGCAGCCTATTGGTTATATTTGACTATTCCCTTTTATTTTTTTTTTTACCTCCAGATGGTAACTGGGATCTCAGCTCCAACTCCTTCATGTGTGAGGGTCAAGGAATGAGTAAGAGCCTGTTAATAGAGGCCAGTGGGAGTTGTAGGGAAGGGAAGACAGGAATAGTCTCTGCCTGAGCAGTTTCTGCTCAGCTTTGGCAGAGCTGCAGAGTGGAGCAGAGGGTGGAAATGTTGATCCTGGTGTTTGCTCTGGTCAGCTGGGAATGGGAGCTGAGCCCTCCCAGTCCTGGGGGTCTGGGGAAGGGAGGAAATGAGCAGCAGGATCACGGCAGGAGTGGTTTATTTACTGTGTGAGGAGTAAATAAAACTCCTCACAGTTTACTGTGGGGTGGAGACTCACTAAGGGCTTGCTGTGGTCATGGAGAGCACAAATTTCTGGAATTGCTGGAGCTGAATCCTGAATATTCAGAGTGGATTAGGTGAGGCAGTGTGGATTTTAAGGGAGTCACCTGCTCTGCTTGTTATCTTGTGTTATTTCAGTGGCTGCAGGAATGCATCAGCCAAAGGAATTCCTTCGCTTCTCTGACCAGTACAGAATGTTCTAAAGCTTTTTTCCTTTCTCTTTTTTCCCCTCCTCACTTCAGAGGGAAGTTTCTCAGCAGAAAGCTGAGGTGTGGATAAGCTGATAAGGATCATTTCCAGCCTTAAGGGTTTTTTTGTAGAATACTTGAGGTTTCTTCACATTGACTTTCCAAATAGTGTTCCTTGCACTTGGGTGGTGCTGGCATCCGTGTGGAAAGGTAACAGGGAGCTTGTACAGAACTTGTAATTATTTTCTATAAAAAATGCATGTCCATGTCTCTGCCTGAATGTTTTTCTCTGTTGTATATATAATTTTTTTTAATTTTTTTTTTTTTTTTTTTTTTTAAGGATTGGACCTATCCCATGAGGAGAGAGATGCAGGTAGGACACTTTTATTTTCTGTTTTGAGGCAAAACCCGTGGAGCATTTAATGAGGAGAAAAAAGAGCTGGTGTCAAAATCAGTCCTTACCTGTAAAGTGTCAGGCAGCACCATGGAAGACAGAATTAATTAGTTAATTAAGGTGAGGATTTGCCAGCTTGGAATGCAGGTGTGTTTGCATCTCTGTTGTGCAGGTACTAAACCAGAAATCCCCCAAATATTACATTTTTGTCTTTCTGAATGTCTTTAGATTATTACAAAAAATGTATCAGAGGTTTGCCTTCTGCCTTAGGCTTGGAAGTGTTCTCCAGTGGGATGGACAATTAAAATTTTTCTACTATGGTGTCAGTCCAACTTTTGCACGAGATCTACACACCTGCATATCTTCATTGCTGGGGAGATAAATGGTTAAAAACTGATATTTTCCCACTGCTAGGCCAAAGCTTGAGAAATTTCCATGCGTTTATCTTTTTTTTTCATGAGGGCAATTTGGAATTAATTACGAGACAGGATAATAAACCAAGTTAAGATTTCCCTTCTCTTGATCTGGGGCTGGGTGAGATGCAGGAATCAAGCTGGAACTTAGTCCAAATCAAGGACTTTGTTCCTGGTCCAGAACAAGATATCCAGCACCAAGATCATGTTTCTTTTATCCTGCCAAACCAATTTTTTTTTTGCTTGACCTGCTATAAATGACATTGATTACACATTTCAGGAATATGTAAATTATTTGTGTCCATGTTCTGAGGTGAGTGAGATGTGTTATTTCAAATCATTTGGAGTTGGTATTAAATGTCTGTTCTTCTCCTCCCTCCTAGGAAATCTTACCTGGGTTATTTTTAGGCCCATATTCTTCAGCTATGAAAAGCAAGGTATGATTTTCAGAATATTCTCTCACAGGGAAGCTTTGCTGTGGTGATTGGATTTGTTACTGTGGAGATCTGCTCTGTGTATCTATAGAGGTGTAAATTTGGTTGCAGTTCTGAACTGGAATGTGAAAAATGCCAAAGTGGAAGGAATATGTGGTGCATTTGTGGGATGGTTTGAGCTATTTGTATTAAAATTGAGTCTTAAATATAATATTTCTTAGAGAATTTAAGCTGTTTGAGACTTTACCAATTCCTATTTCCTTTGCTGAAGACCTGTCAGAACTGGGAACTCACACACAGACATTAAAACAAGGAAAATTAAATTACAATAAAGTCAAGCACTGCTCAGGCACAGCTTGGCTCTACAAATTTACCTCATGGTTTAAATGATTTTGTTTTCATGGTCTGGTTCCAGCAAGAATCCATTCCTGGCTGCAAATTCCTCCCTCATGCAGGGACTTGAAATTCCAGGCAAAGTGAAAGGTGGGGAGAGGCAAACAACTTCATTGAATGCCTTCCTGTTTTGTCATTTTATCTTTTGGAAAAACAACATTTTTACACTCTGAATTCTAGCAAACCAGCTCAGATTTTCCTTGATATTGCCCTATTTTGTATCTAAGTACAGCTTTTCTTTTTATTACTATTTCTATTTATATAAATAGTATAATATGTATAATATAGTAATGTATAATATTGTATATAGTAATATATATAAATAGTATAATAATATGTATGATATAGTAATATATATTATATACAGAATATATATAAATAGTATAATAATATGTATGATATAGTAATATGTATTATATACAGAATATATATAAATAGTATAATAATAGGTATGATATAGTAATATATATTATATATAGAATATATATAAATAGTATAATAATATGTATGATATAGTAATATATATTATATACAGAATATATATAAATAGTATAATAATATGTATGATATAGTAATATATATTACTAGTCTATTTATTGCAGCTTATCTTTATATTATTAATAATATTATTTCTTTATCTATTACTGTCTAATAGATGAATCTGTAATTTTAAAGAGTTATTTTTTCTTTCTCCACAGCTACCTATACTCCAGAAACATGGAATAACCCATGTAATATGCATACGGCAGAACATTGAAGCAAATTTTATTAAACCAAACTTCCAGCAGTTATTTAGGTGAGAAATGACCAAGATTCCTCTGTGTGTGTTCTTTCTAAATATTTTCACTTTGTCAGAATTATTTGGAAAATGTGCTGAGGTGCAGAAAGACTTGAAATCCAAGCCATGAATTTTATTCATCCTGAACAAGTCTGCAGATTAGAATTATCCATAGTTTGCAGTAACTGTTTTCAGTGATTTCTGAGAGGGGAAATCTGTCAGGGGGTGTTGGAGATTCCCCACTCCTTTCCTCACAAGGTTCTGGATGGAATTTCTGGAGTTCAGAGCAGGGGGTTGTGCTGGGTTCCTCCTGCACTGGAGGGGTTGGAGCAGCTCTGTGGGGCTGTGAACTCACAGGAAATTTTCATTGCAGGTATTTAGTCTTGGATATTGCAGATAATCCAGTGGAGAATATAATCCGATTTTTCCCTATGGTGAGTAGATGGGTGGGGAAGGGAAATCCCCAGGAGCTTCTGAACTAACAAATGCCAGTTTCACATTTGGGATACTCAGCCTCAGGCCCCTGAAGTGCTGCCAGCTCCTGGCTTTGTTATTGACACTTTAATAAGTGTAATTAACTCATTTTTACAGGTGGAGTTGTAAGAGCTGCTTCTTATGATGGTATCAAAAGAAAAAGAAATAAAAAAGACAGGCCTCAAAACAGAGAGATTTGCTCATGGGGGAATTCTGGGGCCCTTGACCTGGGGGAAACTTTATTTGAGCCCAAGAATATTTACATTTCTTGTATGAAATTCAAAATAATAGCTAAGTTTTAGAGTGTCTTAAAACATGCTTGCTTGCAGAGGAATTAAAAAGTAACTTGTAAATTAAACAATGCCCATTATTGGAACATACACCCTAGTTTTGAGCTGTGGGTTTTTATTTTAGTCCAGTTTGCAACTGAACAAAAGGATTTTGTTCCTTCTTCCACCAAAAAACCCAAAAGTGCCTTCAATGGTTTTGCACTGACAATTTTAGGAATAGCTTAGAGTACAAAAGAAATACAAATGTCCAGTTGAAGTGGGGTTTAAGTCTGCATAAAGATGCATTATTGTCACTGATATAAAAATTATATCCAATTTAGGTGTTACTACTACTTGCACTTAAAATAATCTGTAAGTTTGAGTCTTGTATTTTTTTTTTTCTTTTCAGACTAAAGAATTTATTGATGGAAGTTTACAAAGTGGAGGTAAAATTATATTAACTTTCCTCTCATAAAACTTACTTGGGGTATGGATTAGAGGCTCTTAAACAAGAGCTTTTCTTAAATTTGTGGGGTTTATTGTGTTTGA